TTTGAATGAGTTCAATATCTATCTTCCCTCATAAAACCGTGTAGGTACTATCTAGAAAGAAATACAACTAATTTAAAACATGTTTTTTTAATTGGAAGAAAAGAAGAGAGTTTGCCTAGAGATACCAAAAACTGTGTGTAGATGTGTGTGTAAATTAAAGTATGATGACAGCATTAAAGAAAGTTTGGGTGCTTTAAAAACACTCATTCGTCCATTATTCATTTTCTATCACATAATTATTTTGCATTTATAATATGCATGGCTGGGTAATAAGTCTAAATATGCCAAGGGAGTATTGGATATTAACTAGTTTCAATGCACCCAAAGGCACAAATTTTAAGTGATATGTGATAAGTCACAGAGAAGCACTGCTGTCTGAATAAGTAAAACACAAATTGCCTACAGAAATTGCCATAGATGTAAAATGAACAGTTCTGTTTCATATCTGCACCTCAGAAAGATTTTTATAGCTTTCATTTAAATCCTATTAGTTGAGGAAGACCATTGCTCAACAACTATAGGAGAAGAAACAAGATAGTCTTATGATATCTCATTTATCTAGAGTATACAAAGGTTCCAGTCAGCTGCTGCACCAGTTAACTGGAGTAATCACATAAATTGTGAATAGATTACCATTTTTCAAAGAAGTGAAATATTGTAAAATTCAGTGAACATTTAATTCTAACAGTAGATATATGGAGAACATGAACTGGGGTCAGGTTTTTTCTGATCCTGAGTTGTCATTTGTTTCTTGCTCACAGAGTTGATGTGAGTAAACTATTTTGATTATGAGAGATTAATTCATAATTACAGAATAAAAGAATTTAATGGAAAAATAGAAATACTGGTGTGATTCAAAAACCAGAGATTTGTCACAAAGAGATAAACTAAAAAAGTAAGAAAATTAGTTAGACTCACAAATTTAGAGGTATTCTTATAAAGACAAGTGAGAGAACAAAAATCTCAGAAATAGGATATTATTAGAAAAAAAAAAAGTAGAGGAAAAGTGAACAGAAACAAACATATCTATTAAAAAAGGAAAAAATAATGAAAAAGATGTCCATTCATTTAGTAACATGTGGACCTAATAGACAAAAATGTTAAAAGGCCACCTATAAAAATACTTTCTGTGGAATTTAATATTTGATAAAGTGATGCTATGCTTATGACATTAGAGGAATATACAAATTCCAGAGAAAACACTACACAGGGGTACATAAGTATGAGGGTAATCTGTACCAGTAAGAAAAGTCATTTTATTTTGAATACTGTATAAGCTCCTATATATATTTCATAATTGGTTTGACTTCAACAAATTATGAAAACTTAGAGGGCTGACTAAGATAATGAAGGAATTGGAAGAGGTGTGACTCAACGAAACACACTCTATGATTTCAAACAAGTAAAAACTTTAAGTGTTAGGTAGAAATAATATAGATGCCAAAAAGAATGTTCCTAAAATGAGGGTTACTGAAAAGAAGTCTGTTAAAGTGTCAGCAGCATTTAAAATGCAATGTTTCAAAGTTCTGACATCTTTTCTTACGTTATGATATGTATGAGTTGGGTTGAAATTTCAAAAGGGCTCAAAAGTAGGCAAAAACAAAGTTAGGTCAGGAGACAGCTGATTTTTTGACACACCTGGACTAGTCTAAATGTTGTATGCTATGAAAGAAGAATCAATTGTAACACTATTCAATAAATGGTTTCCTACAGTCCTACCATTGTAGAAAATTTCATGGATTTAGGATTTAAAAATCATGATGTCCATGTAGGTTTTTTTCACTTTATTCAATATAATTTATTATTGTATGACCCTTTAAACAAATGAAAGAAAGATTTCACAACATACATTTTAGATGAAATTTCATTGGCCATTTATCTTATGATTGTCTTCAATTCTTAGGGAATGACTAAGTTTTTGACAAGAAATCAACAGGTTTCCAAATAACAAATCCTCATGCCTTTAGTACTGTATTGTTTAGGCTGATTTAAACTGAAAGACATGCTTGTTTCCAGACAAAAAAAATCTGAAGAGATAATGTTCAAAATGTGAAACCAAAATCATAAGCAAGAATGATTACAAAAATAATATTAAACTTGTTGTTTTAACTTTTGGGCTTTTCTAAATTATATTAATGCTATAATTTTTACCAGTTATATTCTTGAACTTGAATTATTTTTATGATCTTTATTTTTTCAGACTATCTAGATGTTTTATGTATAACTTACTGTGTCAGTTGAAAGACTCAGTAATTTTAAATAACATGTCAGTAACTTTAAAGAAATTCTTGAATCCTGTATGAAAAATATAACTATTTTTAAACTCCAGAGAATAGTTTTATTTCATTTTAATAAGTGTTGAAAACAATTATTGATTTTTATTAAGACAAAGTATTTTCATATTTTTATTACTTTAATAAAAATTAAAGTTTAAGCTAAGCTAAAATTTATTAACATTTTAAGATAAATCTAAACACTATATTTTGACTATATGACCATATCCTACATGTTTAAATTTATTTCCTCCATCTTTCAGTGTATCCCTTTTGTCCTTATCAGAGTATTAGCAATATACAACATTATGACAAAAATAAGAGGAGGCATGCTTGTAAAGAGCTCATGACTAATGAGACAAGGTTTAAGAGATATGCTGAAAATTTCTCCTGATTAAAAAAATAAGTTCCATTTCATTAAATGCATTATGTATACTCTTCATGGATCTTTTCTTATACATTAAAAAAAGAAGAAATATAATTGTATATAGGTATTTTTTTAGAAACACAAAGTACATTGTTTTTAATGTGCATACATGCACTTTTGTGTAAAAGTTGTTTTCTTACAATTTTTAAGTTTAACTTTAGCAATCAGAGGTGTAGAAATGAAAAGTTCTTGGGTGTAGACAATGATCTCATTTGTATTATTAAGCTTATCACCATTTCCCTGTCATCATTTTATAAATGACAGTGGTAGCCTCATTAGGCTTTGTTTAGGGCTTTACAAAAATAATTAAATATACAGTTACTTTTCTTAACATCAAAATGTGCATTATGTTCATTAAAAAACAAAATGCATGTTTAGCAAAAGAAAAACTGCTTCCTCAATAATTATTTAAACATTCTGATTTTAAATAAAGGTAATTAGTGCTAATTTTTAGCTTCTTTAATTACATAAGGGATGTGCTTTTCAATTTAGAAGATGAGAATATTTCCATTCCTGATGATAAATGATACACATACTAACAACTACCACCATGTGAATTTGGGGGGCAAAATTGTCAGGAATGGAGGGTTTTGGTTTAGCTTATACAATTAGATTAACCAGAAAATTGACTATGCCTATTAAGTCAGAGCTAGGAAGTAATTTTAAAGATAACCATGTGAGACTAAGATGACATTAAACACTAGAAGTTAAAAAAAAATTCAGACATGATTAAAGTTATATGAAGAACTGAGGAAAGTATAAATAAAAACAACAAAATGCTATTTTTCTGCTTCTTTTTCATCCCATCCACACTTTATGCCAAACCCTAAATTTTGAGCAGTATGAGCTGAGCTGGCTAAAACAGAAGACGGAAATTGTTATTCAAAATTAATTAATTATAATACACATCTGGAATAATATGCAAACAAATCTTAATTTTCTTGGTAAAATAATAGATGCATTCTTTGATTTCTAGCAGCACATATATCTGATAATATATAATCCCTGAAATCAGGGATCTAAATGAAATACTAGATTCTTAAAGAGTAGAGAAATTTGCGTTAAAATATATGTAGCATTAATATTTCTATCAACAAAAATTATTACCATGATTCTTAAAATTAAAAAGAAAAACCAGTCAGTAGAGAAAAGACATTTGTAGATGTTCAAAATTTCATTTCTATAATGTAAGTGAAACTTCATCAAGGTTGGTACTCACTAAAAGTTAAAGAGGTTGAACTGATTTTTCACTATATTTGATGTAGATTTACCAGTTAATATATGCTAACAGGAAATATTTCTATTTTTTAGAAATACAAATTTGAATTACTCTGAATCATATGCCCTTTGAATTTTTACCTTGAAATTATTGATAATGTACTTCTATAATGTATATTATTACTTTAAGTGAAACACTAGTGAGAATATGTTGTGTAAAATTTGGAAAAGCTTGGTTTTTGATAATAAGTAAAACTTTAAATCCAGAAAAAATGAATAAAATTTTAAGTCCAGAATTTAGTTTGAGGGGCAAAGACTGAATCATAGTCCTTATTTATTAAAATTTGATTTTAGGCTACTTTAATAAATATGTACTAAAGAATCTCAAAGCATTGTTGTTTTTCAGAGTGGTTGTATAAAATTATCCACTTCGAGACTATGGTCCCAATATCAAAAGAGCTGACTACAATTACCAATGTCTCAATGTTAGAAGAACCTACTATTTTAAATAAATGAATAATATTGCTGTGTTTATATGCTTTCATCATGTAGTTCCTCTGATTCTGATAAGCAACGTATATCCATGCCAACATATTACTGACTCACGTAGAATGATCAAACTGATGGCTGCAATGATTTCTGAATTTAGCCTAATGTGTTTAATGTCATTGTGGGAAAAGGATGATTAAGTGAAAATGCTGGTAATCAATAAGAAAACCAGATCTCTCGGTGACTTAACTGTGAAGAGATGTTTTTCCACCTTAAGCCCTTCAAAACACATGGAAATCAAGTCAGCAGGTGAGCAGTATTCAAAGGGAATAGGAAGATCATTTGAAAAATGTTTTCAACAACATCAAAAATTATCTTTGATTGTAGCCAACAACCATGTCCTAACACAGGAATTTGTCTTCTTGTTAAGTATATCCATTTTTCGATTGTAAAGTGCTGTCTGCATCCAAGAGTCACTTTTATCCTTGTTTCTGAAAACAACCTGAACTCTATTTTTTACTAAGAAGAATGGCATGTTGAACTTTATTTTCTGAAAGGGAATACTTTGCTACAGCCTTTTACGGAATACTTACTCAAATATGGTGGTTTGTAAGGCGCTCGTGTATTAGACAGCAGTCCATCCAGCTCTTTCCTCTCCAGGGTGCTGTGAAGGGCCTTCTCTTTGCCGAAGGTGGAGAAGGACCTCTCTGCCCCAGGCTGGGCTTCTGGAGTTTCAAACACCTCAGTGTCTGGAACAGAGTCCATGCCAGGAACATGCAGATTGCTACGATAATCAGCAGCCTGGCGTCCATCAGAAGGGACAAATGAAGGCATCCAGCACCGATCTGAGTGGCCCAGGGCTTTACATTCCTCGGTGCAGTTGGAGAAGAGATCCATACCTGCGAGCAGAAAACACAGAAGCTATGGAGGGAGCCTTCACCAACATGACCAGCTACTTAGAAGTGAAAAGTTACAGGCAGCATAAAGAGTAATGGGTGAAGGTATCTTGACAAATTTTTCTTGTTTTAACCTGACAGGAGCTAAAAATCGCTTTACATTATTTTGTAAAGGGTAAGACTCGGCAAAGAGGCCTCTGAGATAGATGTTTCTAAACTACTCAGGATATCGGGGGGGAAATGTTGGCTCTAAATTATTTAAATAACTAGAAAATAGTGAGAATGAATATTTAAAAAAATCTCTCGTGAAGTTCATAACAGAGAAAAAACCGAAGTGGAAAGCCTTCGTTATCCATAATCTCTAATGACGTTAAGTCATCTGATATTTTTTTTCTTAGAGACAAAAAGGGAAGAAATATGGGAAGTACTAGCATTTAGATTATAAAATCTGGACATGAAATAAAAAGTGAAATTCAACAGAAACATGGCATACATACTGATACATCAGTAAATAACAAGAATAAGATAAGATTTCGTGAGCGGCCAAGAGCATGCTTTCTTAGGTTCCTAGAAAATGACTTCCTAAAAGTTATTTTTCAGTGACACTCTCGTAGTCCGTATGACTACAAACCACTTATCATTTACCACCTTAGAAAAGCCCAGAACAAATGACTGTAATTAGTGAAACCAAGGTAACAAGTGCAATGTGCATCAGCTGCAGATGCTATTGACAAATACTTTATTACTTGTTCTATATTGGAAAACACTTGTGCTAGACAACACAGAACTGTTTGCTTACTAATCCTAGATAGAATACCAAGATTTCAAACGACATCTTCAAGTTTCATTGTCTCCCATGGATTGACAAGAATATTAAACACGTTATTTATGACTCAAGAAAGCTCACTCACTTTCTTAAGAAAACATAACAATTTGGGGGCACTATAGAATACTATTTGTTATTCATTTTGATAACTAGCAGTAGGTGAAAAATAAGTACATAAACAAAATCACATTTTAACGTGTTTCTAAACAGAGCAACGCATTTATTAAATATGTTTAAAAACAGGATCAATTTGAAATAACCAAAGTGTGATTAGTCCGTACGTCAGAAACTCTCAAATGCATGAAATGCCTGGTGTGGAAAAACTAGGGATTACCTTTTTGACCAACAGCGTAATATTTATGTCATGAACACACTTGATTTTTTTTCTTTAAATGTTATGAGTGATTTGAGCTCTTGAACAAGTTTTAGTTTGCAAATTCCTAACGGTATTCTACTAGTACTAATTTACTTTTTTGTGTATATATTTTAACATCTCTCTATATAATATAAAGAAATCAATTTTTCACAATTATTAACCCTCCAGATTATCCTCAAGTATTTTGGAGTTAAGAACAGTTAATTACATATATTATGTTTTAAGAAATAACACCAAGCTTCTTATCATATATTAATCTCACTTTATAATGACTTTTTTATTTTAAATTAAACTATGTATAATGCTACGTCTGACTTCAATTCTAACATTCCATTGATAATTGATGCATAAGCCTGGAAGTAAATTACTGATCAGTGAACTGTTGAGGAAGGTAAACATGAGCTGAAGCCAAGATAAGGAATCAGACTAAGAACAGCATGTAAAACATGTCAATTTTTCTGTAGACACCAGGGAAGTTCAGTTATCCTATGCCTGTAAGGAGATATGTATTTAAAAAAAAAAAAAAAAAAAGAGGAAGGGAAGGAGAATATCCCTGATGCACACTGACATACGAGCTAGGTAGAAGCTAGAGAACCAGAGACATCTCTTTTTGAGGCACTGTACTCTAAATGCTCCCTATTTATAGTGTGATAAGGAATAAAAGGCCTTTTTGACAGGTGGAACTACCATTAATAGTAAATTACGAGCAATTATATATTTTAAAAATAAATTCGTGTCATTAAATTTTAAGTTGATGAAAAAAATTCAAATTTTAAGATAGAATTGTTTTATTGGATCCTGATAAAGATAGGTACTAATGCAAAATTTGATATTAATACAGTTTTTCGTCACATAACTGATCAAACCCTTTCAAATATCTCATGAGACCATTAACAATCTTTCACATCTGTTTGAGCACTGTACCAAAGTATTCTTATAATTTTGAAAATGATAATCACAGAGAAAAATTTTAATAATCTAGTCTCTCAACATTATCATTAAGATGTTTGCCTATGTTGGAGGGTACTTTTAGTAGAATTTGTTTTTATGGGTAGTTTATATTCAATTGTGCCCATTTTCTTCTCTCAAAGTATATGTTTTTCTGCCTCTTTGACTTATTAGAGGCTAGTTAAAATTCCCTTAGATGATGAAGTAAAGTTCTCATGAATTGAGAACCTGTAAAACAAAACATATCATGTGCATAACAAGAAAAGTGAGGAATATGATAAAGTTTTCTGTTGGAAGAACACTGTTACTTGCCTGAAAGGGGAACTCTTGTAAATAGTGTTCTTAATAAATTTATGAGCTACTCCTTTTAAAGTGGGATCCCCATAGCGATAACACAGCTTTATATAACTACAAGGAAAGGGAATACGGCACACATTATGCATGTAGATGTTTCCCCAGTTTTACTGATAAAACAAGTACACTAATTTCTCATGAAAATATCAGACACAGAAACAATTTTTTTAAATCATATAAATAGTACATCAATAAATTTCAAATAAGTTTTAGAAACATTCACTGAAAATGTTTTTTTTCAGTTGTCTTAGATATATAGTTTGAGAACCAAATACATCTTGCCTATTTACTGGTCCTCACCTTAGGGAGACATTGACTAAAATTATTTTATCTTTTTTCATATATCACTAATCCCATTAAATATATATATAT